AAAGAGTGGTTATAAATGGCCTTATCTATTTTAAACTCTTCGACTATATAAATAGTGCCTGAAATACCAACAAGCCAGAGCCCACTGTCCTTTCTGAGTAATGGACACTATTCTAACTCATGTCCAACCCAGCACCTGACTAAATTGGTCTGGACTTCCACCAGGGGTGCATTCCAAGCCCCGTGGGTGGTGATTCTCAGGGCAAATCTCCCCTACTGTGCGAACTTCAGGGCATTTCTGAACTGGTCAAACTTAGCAATCTCAAAAAATAGTCCTGGAAAGTTTTGGGGACATGTTTATAGAAACCACAGAAAGACGATGAATAAGCCTTCTTACCCAGTCATTTTAGCCCATAGACAGATGACTTTTTCTATACATATGATATGTACAAAATAACTTGGAGACATTTTTAGCAATTATAGTCATCGAACTTGAATAAAAATGAAAAAGGATAATGTGCTGACTGCATATACATTTTCAAGCTACCAGGAAAAGCTTAAGTCAGAAATTTTGGAAGTCACTTTATAGAATGAGTTAGATTTTCTCAATCTGAAGGGTGACAGTACTGTCAAATTTCCATGAAATTTATTCCAATAACTTATTGAATGTAATAGACATCTAAGGTACACAGAAATAAACCCGGAGGAGACATCAGCTTCCCAGTGGAGAGATCTGTCCACAGAGGTGGATGTTGGTTTTGCAATGGTAACATGCCACCCCATACGCAATAGATGCAAAAACTGTTCCCAAAATTTTATAATAAATGACTGGAGATTAGGAAGAATTAAAATGCAGCAGGGAGTTGGCTACTTAATGTTGTGAAACGTATGTTAAAGTATGTCTTATTTATAAACATTGCATTTTTTTTTTTAAGTAACCAGGTTTCTTTAAATGAAGAGAGCAAAATGTAGAGATTAAACTTTGAGAGTGGACTACCTGGTTGGTTCCCCGTTGTGGGTCCTCTGCTCAATAACCTTGTAACCTCAGCAAGTTACTTTCTCTCTGGGCCTTAGAATCTCCTGTAAACTGGGCCAATCACAGTCTTTGAGCCATGACGTTATTGTGAGGCTTAGAACACCATCTGGCAGATAGCAACTACTATATAGATATCAGTTAGGAATAAATAGAACCTTAAATGTCCCTGCAAATGTCACGTTTACATTTTTTTTTTTTAAATATTGGTTGAGATAGAGAGCACTGAACTCCTAAGTTTTTTGTTTGTTTGTTTACCTATAAGCTAAAAGCATTTCATTTCTCAGATTTACAGTGATACATTTCACTGCTAGGTCAACCTGTAAGGTAATAGGGTAAGAAAAAAAAAAAGAACTTTATAGGCAAAGTCGTAGATATTTAAGATAAAACATATCCAATAGTCTGAAGCAGAAAGTAGTTAGGGCAAGGTAAACATTATTCTGCCATCTTTTAAAATGATTAAAGAAATATGGTATAAATTATTAGGAATAGAAAAGTGATGGTGACCACAGACATTAAATACTCTGATCTAGACAGCCTTTGTGCTAAGACTTACAAAATGATTGAGAAATACTCATGTTGGCATATACATATATATATATATATATATATACACACACACACACACACACATATATATGTATATACATATATATTTTTCCCTTTTTCTCCTCTAACCAGTAAACTCTTATCTGTTAATGGTAAATATTATTTGTCAATGATATTCTTTATTGTGAAATAATTTTGAAAAATAATTGAACAAAGTATATACATATTATAGAGAGAGAAAAAAATAATTGAACAAAATATATACATATATATATATATATACAGAGAGAGAGAGAGCTAACAAGAATACTATACTCTGCTTTACTTTGATTTTAAATAACAACTATCAGACAAAACAATGTCTCCATACAAGTCCCTATATATGTTAGTTAAATATACATATACACTCATATATAGGGAAAGTTTTTTTTGGGAAAGAGAGAGAAACCTACTTCGAAAAACTGAAACGTTTACCGATGACTACTTCTAAGGATGGGGAGGGCAGTATTCTGGGTAGTTTTTCTTCTTGGCATATATATAACAGTGTGTTTTATTCCTCACAACATGTATCGTTTTGTAGCATAAAACATTCTGAAGTATTACTTGTGAAGTTAGCAATGAATATTGACATTTTTTCCCTTATATTTCCTTTCTCCAAAGTCACAATAAAATGCAATGTCAAAAAACGCTGAATGAACCTATGGAGAAAGTAATTTATCGTTCTCATGAAATAAACTATTTTAGATTCATAGTAGGTTAGGCCCATAGTTCACTTCGGGGCCCCAGGTGTTATTCTTAGGTCTTTAACCCCTAGAAAAACAATTAGCACTGCAAAGAAACATCAATGATATCCAGAACCTAAAAGAACATTTCCTGCGACAAAGGAAAAAACTAGAAGTTAATTAATTTTGTTTGGACGAGAATATCATTTTTCCCCACATCAAGTTCCAACATTAGGAAACATCTCTCACCATCTTAGTAGCTTTTGAAACAGAGCTGAGTCTCTCACCACCTATCCCCAAATTAGCCAGTTCACTGCTCCAATGCTAATGTTCATGTTTCCATTTTGAGGCCCATGTTGCCTTGCTGTGTCATGCATATTGGATGCAATATCTACTCTAATCAAAAGTGGATATTGTTTTCATTTTACACCCATGGAAATTGAGGTCCCGAGAAGTCAGGTCATTTGGCCAAGACTCCTCAACTAGTGGGACTACAGCTAACAGAGCCAGCAAACAAGCTCCAGAAGCACTACCACCACTCCACACAGCCCTCGACATAAGATCACATTCCAGACCTAAGGTAGTCAGGTTGCTTGATGATCAGGGTTCGGTGAGATTATATAGCAGAAAAAATAAGAGTACCTTATTTTGTGAAGGTAGATCTCATGTTAAATGTTCTTACCACAGTAAAATATAATTAAAAAGAAATAACCCCTCATATTTCTCTAGAACAAACTTTAATAATGCATATCTCAAGCAAGTTGTTGACGTATAGAGCATGATATTAGAATTCACACAAAATAAACTTTTCTATTTCTCCTCTAACCAGTCAACTCTTATCTGTTAATGATAAATATTATTTGTCAATGATATTCTTTATTGTGAAATAATTTTGAAAAATAATTGAACAAAGTGAACTAAAAATATTATTGTTTTCTTTTCTCCTTCACGTACTCCACCCTGGACTTTCAGGAAAATGGACAAAGAAAATATGGTGGCCCTCCACCTGGCTGGGTTGCTGCACCCGGAAAATGGACAAAGAAAATATGGTGGCCCTCCACCTGGCTTTGATGCTGCACCACCAGAAAGGGGCTGTGAGATTTTTATTGGAAAACTTCCCCGAGACCTTTTTGAGGATGAACTTATACCATTATGTGAAAAAGTGAGTCTAATTTTAGTTTTTCTTTTTTTTAATCTTCTAACATGATTTCTTAACAGCTTGTAATTACTAGGGAACAAAGAAAATATGGTGGCCCTCCACCTGGCTTTGATGCTGCACCACCAGAAAGGGGCTGTGAGATTTTTATTGGAAAACTTCCCCGAGACCTTTTTGAGGATGAACTTATACCATTATGTGAAAAAGTGAGTCTAATTTTAGTTTTTCTTTTTTTTAATCTTCTAACATGATTTCTTAACAGCTTGTAATTACTAGGGAATAAATTTCCCCAAGTTTTAATTCCAAATGATATTTTGTTACTAAACCCCAAATAAAAAGAATATAAAGGTTTTATTTATTTGTAATAGTGTATCAAGTAGGCTTAGCAACAAACCCATTCCTGAAAAATTTAGTAAATATGAACGTTTAGCTCATTCCCTAAATGCCAAAATTGTGTGTGTGTGTAACTCAACCTGATTCAGAACCATGCCTAATTTGATTATAATTCCACTTGACATGTGAATAAATTATGAAGACTTAATCCTGTAAGAATTTTATGATCTTAACCCAAAAATAAGCAAGAAGAAACACCTAAGCATAGAGATGAAATATACCTACATTCTTTCCCAATGAGCCCAGAAGAAATAGGTGTGCAGCCCTAAATACCTTGAGGTGAGATGGGGAGAGGCTGAGCTGAGGGGCGGCCCACCACTAAGGCAATGGCATGTGCATAATGACACTGCTCCCACACATGTGTCTTGCATCCATTTGGGCACTCTACTTGAGAGGGCCAGCAGTAGTAGATTATTGCATCTGGACAGCTGAGGACAGTAGGGTAGCAGGAAGAAGGCTTTCTGCACAAGCAGAGGAGCAGCAACCAGGGGAATGGAGCGCTCTCCTACTGTGGAGGTCCTGGCCCTATGCTGGTTCTATCAGGACTAGCTTTTACCTTCAGTCTAGAGATTAAGAAAATGACAGAACTCTCGTATCATCCTGAAACATATCTATGTTCATTATAATGTCAGCAGAGAAAAAAAGACAGCTAAGAAGTTAGTTGAAGGTTGTAAAATGAGTGTTGCTAGTTTTTGTTTTGAGTATCAGTGATAAGAGTATGACCAAGTAAGGATCAACATATGGAGATCAGAGGTCAATCTGGAAGGCATGGACGAATCTATCAAGAAATTATGCTTCTGATGATAAATACATTTTCAAGTCCCTAAGACACTGCATAAATTTCTAGACAATTGTGTGATGAAAGGTCATTTGCTCTGTCAAAAAACATTCTGTTAACTCAGGCTAAAATGCCACTTGTACACAATTTCTTTATTTAACTTGAATTTCCCATGAGGCAGATAACTGATCCGAACCCAGCATGGAAATATGCAAACCATTCCACATCAGATGCAAATGCCAGATACTGGCAGGAAATAGACTTCCAAAAACATTGTGACCTACGTTCATTTGAAAGAACAAGTGTATAAATACAGAATTTTCTTTTTCTATTACTTACAGATTGGTAAAATTTATGAAATGAGGATGATGATGGATTTTAATGGCAACAATAGAGGATATGCATTTGTGACATTCTCAAATAAGCAGGAAGCCAAGAATGCAATCAAGCAACTTAATAATTATGAAATTAGGTAAGAACTTCCTCTTTTATGTTAATAGTGAATCACACAATGTACCTGTACTGTTTTATGCCAAATTTATGTAATAGAGTATATGCAAAAGATAACCAGACCCAAAATAAAATAGTTCTTTTCCTTGGTGAAAGTAAATTTGATTAAATATTGATTTAATATCAATATTGTCTGAGGTCCCAAACTAAGTTCTATGAAATGCTCAAAGAAAAATTCATGAATTTACCTGTTTCATAAATACGTTCTGAATACTGTTCAAAATATTGGAAATACATCAAGGTGGTATCCTCGTAGTCAACAAATACATAACCAGAGATGGGATAAAGTTGTGTGAGGACATAGCTACTCTAACCTGGTGTAGTTAAGAAAATACTCTCTGGGACAGCGAAATTTGATGGAAGACTTAAATGAAGAGAGTCAGCCATGCCTCTTTCCTAGTTGGACCTAGGTAAGATTATTCCAGGAAAAGAGAGAACACTAAGTGCAAAGGTCCCCAAAGTGGGAACAAACTTGATATGTTTGAGGGACAGAAAGAAAGTCTAGGTGACCAAAGCAGAGAGAGAGAGTTGAAGGTAATGCATTTGGAGAGCCTTGTTACTCTGTGATGAAGAATGTGAATTTTGTTCTCTAGAAAGGAAAAGTTATGAGGATTTTCATTCAATTTATGGTTTTCAAAACATTATTCTGTGGCTGAGAAGCAAACGAACCACAGCAAGATGAGGACTGAAAGAGGGAAGCCTATGAAAAGGTTGTTACTGCAGTCTGGACCCAGATGAGATAATGGTGGTTAGAAAGGGGAGTCAACAGCAGAGGTGGTTTTAAAAAAAAATGTCAGGGGACCAGCAGTTGGCATAATGGCTGTGTCGCTGGACTCTCATGTAATCGACCACAGTTCGAGTCCTGGATCTGGTGGCTTAAACTCACACCGGGTGCTTGTGCATGCATTGCCCAAGATCCTGAGAGGAGAATGGAGCAGAAGGGATTGTGGTGTGGCTATCCCTCCTGAGAGTGAGTTCTCACTTTCTATCTCTCTCTGTCTTTCTGGCAAGCACATGCACCCTGTAGCAAAAACCTCTCTCAAAAAAAAAGTCAGATATGGAATTTATTTTGGAGTCTAAGACTTGCTAGATATATTAGACTTAGAGTGTGAGGGAATTCAAGGAGGGAAACAGGATTTGGGTCCAAATACATGTGGATAAGGTAGCACCACTGAGATGGAAAGAATGGGAGGGACAGCAGAAAACACATGAAAAGCAGAGACTAGGGGAGAGTACCAGGCTGTAATTGGCCTGTGCAATTAATAGCCACTTTGTATAAACTGAAAATAGGCTTAACATCATGAAACTGGGTTTAAAACCTTCACATGGAGAAGGAAATCCTTTTTCAAAGGAAGCCCTGGGCCATCTGGAAAGAAGATTGATAGAGGATTTAAAAAGCAAGAGCTTTTGGATCAAGGTCAACTAGGCTTCACTTGAATGTCAACAAGTAACTTAACCTTTCTATACCTTGATTTCCTCATCTATAAAATGGGGATAAATGGGCTGGTCCCATGACCTGGTGGTGTTTAAGGGAATCAGATCCCACATGGCTGACTATACAGTTCAAATCCCAGCCCTGATGGCTTGAAAAACACACTGGGTATGTGACTACCTTAAGTCCCTACAGGATGGAGCTATGAAAGAAAAGGGATTGTGGTATGATCACACCCTACTGATGGGTATTTTCTTTTTTCTTCCTCTTCCTCCCTCTCCCTCTCTGGTGAGTGCACATGCCCTCTGGCAAGTTAAAAGAAAAAATGAGATAATAATCCGTACTTCACAGGTTTTATTGTGGAAATACTATATTTTGAAATACTTTACCCAGTATCTAAACACAGTAAGTCAACAGCTGATATATTAGCACAGTTCATCAATTCTAAGATACAGTTTTCACATTTCATTTCTGAAAGAGACCTGCACCTTAAAATTGATGAAATTTTCAATTTGATGAATGCAGAAAAAGCGTATTTCCGACCATTATTTTTCCCCACTTCCTATATGCTCAAAATAAGCTACGCATTATCCTTATAATTTTGTATAACCAATCAAATACCAGGTCATTTTTCTTACACTTCATAACCACAGAAAGATCAACTGGATCTGGCAACCTCTCAACCTCTTGAATAGCCTAGCTATTCAAGTTTCAAAGTTGGGTTAAAGAATAGAGACTTGGAGAAAATATAAAGGAAGCTATCCTCCCACACATCTCTCCAAAGACCCTCAAGAATTTCATGTGGTATGTGAAGGACAGTTTGTAGCAAGAATCAGGAAGCCTGAGATCTAGCCCGGGTTCCATTGGACAAATCCGCTGACCTTGGAGAACATCACTTTGATCATTAGCACCTGGTCACACTGCAGAGCTGTTCTGAGCATCCACCATATAAAATAGTGTATTACTGAGTCCTTTGAGAAATGCTACACAAAGCTATCATTTAATACAGCTTTTTAACATTAGTTACAGAATTTCAAAAATTGGAAGATTCCTTTTTCCTTGGTCTTTCATGTACTTGAATATCCTACAGTAAGGGTCATTCCCAAGATGATTTTTTTTTTGTTTTGTTTTGCCTTTTTTTTTGGTGGGGGGAGAGGTTTTCGCTATAGGACACATGTGCTCACCCGACAGACAGAGAGAGACATAGAGACAGAAAGTGAGAAATCACCCCCCAGAGGGGATGGTCACGCTGCAATCCCTTCTCCTCCATTCTCCTCTTGGGATCTTGGGCACGCACGCACACACGCCCGGCGTGAGTTTTAAGCCACCTGGTCCGGGACGTGAACCGTGGTCGACTACGTGGGAGTCCAGCGACATAGACATTACGCTAACTGCTGGTTCCCCCCAAGATGGGTTTTGAGATGGATATGGAATTGGCTACATGGAGAACTGGAAAAACTTGGAGTATCTAATTAACATGCTATTATAACCCACTGGGGTCTGCCAGTACTTTCTGAAAATAGGGTGTGAATAATGGACACCATCAATCCCTCTGTCAGGATCACTTATAATTAGCAGTATTTTCTGTGAATTTTGCTATCTTGTCCAACAAATAGAGATAAAAATATACCTACTAGATGGGGTATTATATGAAAATATATGACGGGACCTGCAGACAGTGTAATAGTTACTGGACTCCCACATAGATGAACATACTTCGAGTCTCAGACCCAGTAGCTTAAAACTCATGCCAGGCACATGTGTGTGTGTGTGCCCAAAATCCTGAGAGGAGAATGGAGGGGGAGGAGTTGCGGTGTGGCCATTCCCTGTGGGCGGAGATTTCTCGCTTTCTGTCTCTGTCTCTTCAGCGAAAATCCCTATAGCAAAAATCTCTCTCTTAAAAAAAAAAGATAATATATGTAAATTTCAGTGCCTGACATAGGAAGTGTTCTTTAAAAACCTGATGTCTGTGGTAGTGATGAGGAAGAAAGAGGAGAAATAGGACAAGAATTTGGAAAGATCAAGCAAGCAGCCAGGATCTAAGTCCAGGTTCAGACTGGCTGCCAGGAGCAAGCAGGGCACAGGTACAGAATGACTAAAAATTAGGGAGTAGGAGGAACGGGCTGTGAAATAGCAGAATGCAGATCCCAGGCCCAGCCCCACCTACTTCACTCTGCCGTCGGTCTGTCCTGTCAGAGAATCTTTTGTATAAAGAAGAGAACAACTTTTTATTTGCTGCTAAGCCACCATTTCTCAGGGGATAGGTAAAGGCTCTTATCCAGAAAAGACCCATGATTACCATATCCTCCTCCTCATCATCAAATATTCACTGAACACCATCTCAATGCCTGGCTTCTGAAGACATTATAGTCGTGCTCTCAGCTTTTGAGAAATGGCTCTTGGTCTCCAAATAATTCTGGGAAAGGTGCCCGACAAACCACACACATTTAAAAATAGGATATGGGAATGGTAGGCTCCCCTGCTGGTAACTGACACATAACTGCCCTCCTAACAATGAAAAACAATGTAATTTCTAAATACATAATTCCTTAAAAGAGAGAGTTAATTAAAAAAAAAAACTGGAAAATCATTTTATCAACTTTTTTTCTCCAAAAATAGGCACATTCCTCAGGCAATGCTCATAGATCTGACATATAGGACGTGGTTCTTCAGCAAAGCCTAGGAGACAACTCATACGGTGGCTCAATCCTGGTCAAAATACTTGCTGCACAACCCAAAGCCATTAGGGCCAAGAAAGCCAAACCCACCTCCAGGTCTCCTAGCTGAGAATTTTTTATTTGTAATATGAATAGTTCCTGTTAAGGAATTTATACTTATATTTTCCTTTTTTAATTTTAAAAAATTTAATTAATTAGCTTTACATTCATTCACTGAGTATTGTCACAGCATACAAAATGTGATTTGCCGTCTAGAATATACTGCATAGTAGCTTAATCATACATGTTATCATCAACAATTTTCCATTTCTAGTTTCATAAATACATATATTTTCCCTTTCTCACCCTTTGCAATTTTTTAATAACTTTGTGTTATTATACAGCCCAACAGTCAACACATGGAAAACATCAAAAAGCACAAATAAAAGTTAAAATGGTTCCTCCATAACCCCACTGCCCAAAGATAGCCATTGTCGACATCTTATTGTCTTTCCAGATTTTCTATACATTTTTAGTCAAAATGCTCTACTCAAATACTTATTATACAGCCTCTTGTTTTTAACCCAGCTGCAAATTGATTACTAATTTTGGGATCCATAAATATTCTTCACTACTATTTTTAATGTCTGAAGAACATTCTATGCTATGAATGCCCATTTTTTTTTTTTAATTGATGAATCTCAGCCAGGAACAGTACTGTCTACTGTCCACCCTGGGGGACATTTAAAAGTGGGGAGGCATCTTTGGATGACCCAATAAGTGGCTATTGGTAATTAACAGGCAAGAGCCAGGGATGATAAACATAAAATGGCATATGACAGGGAAACATCTATTCCCACAGTCAGAAACATCTTATCTGAGAGACATTAAACCAGTTCTTCATTGTGAGGTATTTTGCTCATTTTCAATTTAGGAACTATTTAAAATAGCAGGCATGGATATCTTTCTACATACATCTTGGTGCTTACTGCTATCTCTCAAGGTACATGCCCAGAAGGGGCATTTTCTGAACATAGATTTTTGCACATTTAAGACTATTCTCTAGAACAACCAGACTATACTCTGTCGATGAAGATATACTTCAACTTGCTAATAAGTAACTTTGTATGATGTAAAAAACATAGGCTGAGATCCCAGAGGCCAGTTTTCTCTCTTAAAAATCTATAAAATCTTAAGCAAGTTGGAACTAGCAAGTGGCATGGTAGTTGAGTGCTGGACTCTCGCAAGGCTGACTGCGGTTTGAGTACCAGACCAGGAAACTTGCTTTCACAAATTCTCTCTCTGTCTCTCTCTGGTGAGTGTATGTGCTCTACAGCCAATTTAATAATAATTAATAAAATTAAATAAGTAAATCTAAAAAAAAAATTAAGCAAGTCACTTAATTTCTAGGAGTCTCAAGTTTACTGCAAAAATGGAAGTAACGCCTACTCTACTCATCTCAAAAACTCCTTGTGTAGGCCCAATAAAATAGTATGTGAACATTTGTTCAAGTACCAGGGACTATTTTTAATAGCAATCAAGTCAAAATAACTTTTCTTTTTGACGGGAAAAGAAAGGGAATACCATGGGTTGCAAACTCAAAGCTCATAGGGCCAACCAGGTATAGATTGATGATGCATCAAGAGGGGATAAGAGCTGAGGACAGCTGGTGAATCCATATCTAGCCTAGAGAATAGATGCTATTTAGCAGCAAATAAGTTTTTTTCCTTTGTTAAGTGTAGAGCACATGTTGATGTATCTGATCTCTGTAAAGAAGTCACAATTCTCCACAAACATTTTAAACACAGTAAAGACCAAACATCCCACGCCTGCAGGCCATGTCTGGTCAAAGGCCACACATTTTCAACTTCTGCCTTAAACCTTAACCACACGAGGATTCTCAGCAATCTAAATGTCTGCTCTGTTTGCAGAAATGGACGTCTTTTAGGAGTTTGTGCCAGCGTGGACAACTGCCGGCTGTTTGTGGGGGGGATACCAAAAACCAAGAAGAGAGAAGAAATCTTATCAGAGATGAAGAAGGTCACCGAAGGAGTGGTTGATGTCATCGTCTACCCAAGTGCTGCAGATAAAACCAAAAACCGGGGCTTTGCCTTTGTGGAGTATGAGAGTCATCGGGCGGCTGCCATGGCTAGGAGGAAACTGCTACCAGGTTAGTGTGTCCCTTCCTCAAAGAGACTTCTCTCCTCCATCCTGCCTGCCTCAGGCTGCTGTGTTCATAGCAAAAACAAATAAACTAAAAAACACAGGCACTTGTTTTTTGGGGTCTTCTAGTTTATATAGCTATGATTGTGTTGTATTTTATACTCGTCCTTCTTCTTCATCTCATAGCTGATTCAAGTTGTGTTGTATTTTATACTCGTCCTTCTTCTTATCCATCTCATAGCTGATTCAAACAGCCATTCACTATCTGTAAAAACAGACATATAAATTCAGTACGTGGTTGACAGTAAAAAGAAGGCCCACAATGAGTGAATGAGTTTTTAAAATTAAGACAATCAGTTTCCCTAGAAAGTCTGATGATTCTAAAAGCTTCTCCACCTCTTCAGAGAAACCAGCATATTGACCCACTGAAAGAGCTTCTGTCTTTACATGAATTGAGCTGATTAGGCCAGACAGGGTTAAGCAATTGGGCTTCAGAAATTCTCAAATACTTCTTCATACTGTCAAGGTTCAGGCTTTTTCCCTGTCCAAGATGCAGTAGTAGGGAGGTTACTCACTCTCCCCATTCACAGTCCATAGTCATCATGATTCGAGGCAAACCTCTTATCTGAGGCCCTTGGAGTCTGCCTCAGTTGGGTCTCACTGGGTTTTAGTCAGACTGCCTCACCAGTAAACTAGCAGGAAGAGGCCACATGGAGTATGAGCCAGAGCAAACTGTCACTTTAAAAAGACCTCAGAACAACACCCATTACCCATTGGAATTTCTCTATTGAATATTCCACTTAGACTCAACAACAAATTATTTCAGTAACTGTGGCCCTTTGGAAAGCTTAGTTTTGTGTTTTTGTTTTTAATGTGCCAAAGGGCATGTGCACTCACCAGAGAGAGACAAAGAAAGAGAGAAAGTGAGAAAGCCACCCCACCCTCTCCATGGGGGCAGCCCACACAATAATCCCTTCTCCTCCATTTTCCTCTCAGGATTCTGGGCACACAGCACAGGTACACAGGGCATGTTTCTCAAGCCTCTAGACCTGGGCTCCAACTGTGTAGTCCATCTTGTGGGATCCAGCTGCCTTAACCACTGCACCAAGGGCTGGCCCCTAAAGAGCTTAGTTTTAAAGAATAAGACTTGTAAGGAAATGATATATAAGCTTTTCCTTCTTAATTGATTCAAATTTAGAGACAAAATGTCCAAAATGATGCAATTGCTTCTCTGGCACTCACCTGCTTTCTCTCCTAACAGCGTAGTCCCCAGTTGAACTGAACTGTGCTTGGGACAAAGTTGTGCATCCAACTCAGCCTATCAGCGCATTCTGAAACAGCTCTGATAAACGTTCTGGCACTGAGTCTGAGGTTCAGGCTACATCAGACACTTGTAGGGCTTGTTAAAACACAGAATGCAGGGTTCTACCTCAAGTTCCTGATTCAGCGGGGCTGGTACAGGTTCCCAGGATGCTACTGCTCCCAGTACACATTGAAGAACCCCTGATCTAAATCAGTGATTGCCATCTTGAGCTGCATATTAAAATCACCTGAGGATATTTTCAAAGACCAATACTGAAGTCAACCTCTAATCAGCTGAATCTGCTTCTCTGGGGTATAGAGTTGAGTCACTGGTGTTTTAAGCATTCCAGATGATTCTATTGTGCAGTCAAATTTTGCGATCCACTGTGAAGCTCAGCTAATGATACTAAGAACTCACCTTCAGGAGACATAAATAGGAACCCCTGGCAAACCACTCAGCAAATTTTTAAAAGTATATCCAACACATTATTCTCTGCTAAATAGCATGGGAGAGTATAAAAAAAAGAATTATAATACCTAACCATTGCACACAAAGAATGTGTATTCTAACTAAGGAAACTATACATCCAAAAATAAGGCCAAAAAAAATTTAAGAGCATATTGAACCATCATTTAAAAGTGATAAACTAAGTCCCTTATCTGTATCTTCTTCTGTATCTCAAAAGTAGATAGTTGTATTAACCCAACTTTGCAGATAAGAAAAATTGATGCTTAAAAAGGATATGTTTTCCACCAAGGATCATTGCTCTAATATTTGAACTTGTCTGACTTCAAAGCTCATGTTTTCAAATCATTCTGTAGCATTAACTTCCATGAGAGTCCTTCACAAGAACATTTGTGAAAATCATTATTTTCTGTAGCATCTCTTATTTCTGTACCCTCTAAACTAAAGTAGTTCTTCAGGTCCATGTGTGGTTTATGATGGTTCCAGGCAGAAATGACCAAAGCGGAGCAGTGGGACTCAACCTTGGCTGCGTGTGAGAATTAAATACTTTAAAAAATTCTGAGTCCCAGACCATTTATATCAGAAGTGGGAGGGACAGTCCAGGTGTCAGCACTGAGCTGGTAATACCAAGGGAAATACGGAAGCCCTAATTCATATCATTTGTTGATTTCTGTGGTATTAATACTCCCATGTGGCTGATTATAAGCTAACAATCTGATGTCAGTTGGCTCACAAAATTTAAAAATTTCTTTATCCATTTATCTGTCTACGGACACTTAGGCTGATTCCTTAGCTTGGCTATTGTGAATAGTCCTGCAATGAGCATGGGGGTGCAGACATCTCCTTGACATGCTACTTTCATATCCCTTGAATATTTAGTAGTGAGATTCCTAGATAATATGGTGGTTATATTTTTAGTTTTTTTTGAGGAAACTCCATCTTGTTTACCATAATAACTATGCCAATTTACATTCCCACCAATAGCATACAAGGATTTCCTTTTCTCCATACCCTCATCTTTTTTATCCCTTTATTCAATTTTTTATCCAGCACTTGTTACATTTTGTCTTTTTGATAATAGCCATTCTACCAGCTGCAAAGTGTTATCTTATTGCAGTTTTAATTTGTATTTCTCCGATGATTAGTGATGTTGAGTATTTTTCATCTGTTGATCATTTGCATGGTTTCTTCTGAGAAATGCCTATTCAAATCCTTCACTCATTTATTAATAGGATTTTCTTTGCTGTTACTAAATTGAGTTCCTGATATAAGTATTAATCTTTTTTTTTTTTTTGAGAGATTTTTGCTATAGGTTGCCTGTGCTCACCAGAAAGACAGAGAGACAAAGAGAAAGCAAGAAATCACCCCCCCGGGGGGGTGGCCATGCCACAATCCCTTCTCCTCCATTCTCCTCTCGGGATCTTGGGCATGCACACACACGTGCCCGGGGTGAGTTTAAGCCACCAGGTCCAGGACTTGAACCGTGGTCTACTACATGGAGTCCAGCCACATAGCCATTCCACCAACTACTGGTCCCCAGTATTAATCCTTAATTTATGTATGGTTTGCAAATTTCCCCCATTTCTTAGGTTGTCTCTTCACTCTGTTGATTGTTTCCTTTCCTATCCAGAGCATCTTACTTTGGTGCAATCACATTTGTTATTTATGACTTCATTACCTTTGCTTTTAGGGTTCTATTCAAGAAATCACTGCCCAGACCAATGACAAGACACTTTTCAACTATGATATGTTTTCTTCTGGTAGCTTTGATTTCAGGTCTTAAGTTGGAGTCTTTAATCCATTGAGTTGATTTTTGTAAATGTGTGAGATAAGTGTTCAATTTTGTTCTACATGCGGAATCACAATTTTCCCAACACATTTAATTCAAAAGACTATCCTTTTCCTATTGTGTATTCTTTACCATTTCATTGCTCTTTATGTCCATTTTTATGACAGTTCTATACTGTTTTGATTACTATATCTTTATCTTTATAGTACATTTTGAAATCAGGTAGTGTGAGCTTTATTCTTTCTTTTAACTGGCTTTTTTTTTGTTTTTGTTTTTGTTTTTTTTGTTAGGCTGCCGAGGCTTAGGTCTTTTGTAGTTCCATGCAAATTTTAAAATTGTTTTTTCTATTTCCATGAAAAATGTCATTGGAATTTTGATAAGGATTGCATTAAAACACTCTGGGTAGAATGAACATCTTAACAATAATAATTCTTCCAATTTATAAGTATGGGATATATGTCCACTTATTTGTTTCTTATTAAATTTATTTTATCAATATTTGACAATTTTAAATGTACAGATTTTTTATCTCCTTGGTTAAATTTATTCCTAATTTTTGAGGGGTGTAGGATGCCCTTGTAAGTGGAATGGTTCTCTTGATTTTTTTAAAAATACAGTTTGTTGGTAGTGTATAGAAGCACTACCAATATTTATATGTTGGTTTTGCATCTCACATCTTTATTGAATTTGTTTACTAGTTGCAATGGAATACTAGTCAGCCTCTGAAAAGAAGGAAATTCTGTCATTTATACTAACCTGGATGAACCCAAAGCACATTATGTTAAGTAAAATAAGTCAGGCACAGAAAGATGATATGGCATGATCTCAATTATATGTGGAATCTAAAAATATTTGACTGAGTCTCTCTCCAGTGAATGCACTTGCACGTGCCTAATGGCAAAGGCCTAAAAAGAAAGAAAGAAAGAAAGAGAGAGAGAGAGAGAGAGAGAGAGAGAGAGAGAGAGAGAGAAAGGAAGGAAGGAAGGAAGGAAGGAAGGAAGGAAAAGTCAGACTCAGAAGCCAAGAGTAAAATGATGACTACTGGGGCCTGTGGGGAAAGGGGGATGTAGTGGTCAAAGGGTAAATAACAAAAAAGGTAGATAACAACTACTTCTTTAAGAATAAATTTCTGATCAGATACTCTTCCATTGCCCTTCATCTGAAAATCTATTGTAAAACATGGTGACTATAGTTAGTAATAATATACACTTGAAAATTGCCAAGAATAGATCTTAAATGTTCTTACTACCAAAAAATTATATGAAGTAATATGCATTAATTCATTTCATTTACAATGTATACACATTGACAATGTATACATATAAAAAGTCATGATGAGTTTTGTTGTGTTTTGTTTTGGAGATTTTTTGCTGTAGGGCATATGCCCTCACCAGAGAGACAGAAAGAGAGAAATCACCTCTCAGGTGGGGGGGAGGGGGAATGACCATGCTATAATCCCTTCTCTTCCATTTTCCTTTCAGGATTTTGGGCATACATGCACAGGTGCCTAGCATAAGTTTCAAGGCATCAGGTCTAGGACTTGAACTGCAGCAGGCCATGTGAGAGTCCAGTGACATAACCATTACACCATCTACTGGTCCCAAACCATGATCTTTTCTGTGCAATAAATATTTACTATTTCTGTCAATTTTAACTTAAGAATGCTAAGAAGAAAAATATCTGAAACTTGAACCATCTATTTTTTCAAGTAGACAGGAATTGGCTCCTGCTCACCATTGGTTGGAATCCAGATTTCAGGGATTTTTAAAGCTCTTCTAGTATGAGGTCAAGATTGAGAACAACTAGGCTGTAGAAAGCAGTTATGTAGTAGCCTTCGGGATCTAGGGATAAGACAAATAAAATGTCTATGTAAAATATAGAAATGAGAGGGAAGAGAATGAAAAGGAATGTGAGGGGGGGGGAAGATAAGAGTTTAAAATGGGGGGGGGAGAGAATAGAGTAAAGAAGAAAACTAACCCCTGGGATACAATGCACAGTGAGGTTATCACACCGGGACAGCAAGAACCAAGCTGTCTCTGGAGAATTGTCTAACTCATTAGCATGTGCCCATTCTCTGTTTGGGTTTTAGAATGTCAGTGCCACAGATGCTTTCATTAACTTCTTTTCATGAAATAAAAACATGCATTTGGTGGAAGATAATTGGCTCCCAAGTGTAATGATTAAATAACTATACCCTCACCAATACTAAGAATTCCTGATTTTGTCCTCTCAAGCTTTGTATTGCTTATAAGATACAGTTTGTTTCAAAAAAAAAGAAAGAAAGAAAAGTAAACTAGATTCCCAACCAACTAGAACTTTAGTTGACTCTCAGCCTCCTCTCATCACTTCAACATGTATTTGCACTATATATGGGGTACAGGAGCTGAGTCACATAAAAAAAAAAAAAAAAAAAAAAAGGAAAAGAAAACAAAGTGAATTTTGCAATAAAAAGGGGGTAAAGGAGTGGAGGCAAAAAAAAAAAAAAAAAAAAAAAAAAAAAAAAAGGAAAAGAAAACAAAGTGAAACAGGTCTGGGAAAGTTTTCTTTTCTAAAGCTCATTCCTCCTTAGTAGAACTGGGAGTCAGTCACAGGGTTACGGTGAGAAGCAACTAAGATAGCACATGAGAAATGCATAGTATAGTTCAAGACATTCAATAAATATAACTATAGGAATACAAAAGCATATACAGTCATAGATAACAACCACCTTTTTAAGGAAAAACTTCTCAAAGACCCTTCCATTGCTCTTCATATGTCTTTTTAATTTGGATTAGTCCTCCCACCCCCAGACTTTCAAGTTATCATGATCTGACAAAGGATTAGGAAGGATCACAGTTGATCTGAGACCTGACCAAGTGGAGGGACAGAGAACAAACTACAGATGACTGAACCTCATCCACCTTTGTCTAAGCACCAGCACCATTTTTTGGGACATACCAATGGTGGTGCCTGGTCAGTATAACAGATTCCATAAAATCAAGTAGAGAATGTCTAGGATGAACGCTGGAATAAAAGGGATAACCGGGAATCATGTATTTTGTGGCTGTCTACACATAGGGGTCAGAGTCAAAATGGCTTAATCCAAATGGTCTCTAAGGCAGACAATGTTGAAACTATGAGTGGTAGGAGTGGTAAGGGGGTGGGAAGGTATTTGGCATCTTTCCCAGGATACACAGAGCTCTGGGGCCTCCTTTTGTCTCTTGCTAATGGAGGTGTGAAGACTAGGACTGGGGGGTGGGGGGGTTGTACTCAGAACACTTGAAGCTGTTGACTTCATTTCCATGGGTTGAAGCTATGAACTGAGTGCCAAGGTTTGTGCTTTGCTCCAAACCACAAACTGGGGTCAGTAGGCTCCTGGCCCACTCCATGGGGAGACTGGATGGTAAATATGGGTGTTCTGGAGATAAGTAACAATATCTAGGGAGTATCTCTCTTCATTTCTTGACTGCGCTTTCCTCTAAATGGTCTTTATTTTTAGTCAAATTCTCTTCATGCCATGGTAAAGATGTCCCTAGCAGTTCTAGCCTTACATCTACTTACGTAACCACTCCTTAAGAAGAAAATCTTGGGGTAGCAGGTGGTATAGTGATTTAGAGTGCTGAACTCCCACATGGCCAACATGTTTTGAATCCTGGACCTGGCAACTTACTTTCTCACTTTCCCATTCTCTCTCTCTTGCTCTGTCCCTCTCTGATCAAATTAAAAATCAATCAATAGAGTTAAATAATTCTTTTTAAAAAGGAAAAAGAAGAAGAAGGAAACCTTATGCTGAATGAGTCTCCAGAAAGATACCTTGGACTCCTCTCTCTGGCATGGCTAGGTTCATGTACCCAATGCTGATTCAATCACTGTGGCCAAGAAGATCTAGAATCACAGTTTTCTAAGTAGATCCTTGTTCCTGGAACTACTACTTCACATGAATGAGAATGTGTGGGGGAAATAGGTTCCCAAAAGAAAACATGTAAATGTTTTGCACCATTTATTTGGAATAAACTTGAAAGAGTAGATCAAGGGCTATTGGAACAGTAGGTTCTGCCTTCCTCTGTTTATCCTGAGAAATTCAACATTGGCTTCAGTCTTGAACATACATTCAGAAAAATCAAAGTCTAGCAGTTAGTCAGACAAAAAGAAATATCATAATTTGATCCATAGTGCAGTCATGATAATACTCTGAGAAAGCAATATAGTTAACTGCAGGGGAAAGAAAATTTAAACAGCCAAATGCACTTGAACAATATAAAAGTATTGGGTTGATGAGAAAGTCATGACACATTTTTGCATAGGAAAACACAGAAAAATAAATGACTTTTCAGACAACCTAATAGAAATATTTCTGCATGTCACTGTTATTTAGAGTTGTGAGTTAAGTGAACAACAAAATGCCTTCCCAAACCATGTCTTGCTTGAAATACCGTCAAGCTAGCCTATTTGGCAGGGTGGAAGAGAAGCTCTGAAATACTTGTGCACTACATTCAGGATAGGAAGGACATTGTTCCAGGTTATATCTTAAATCTAAGGTATAACCTGTCATCAGTCCCTTTAAGTTATGACTGAAACAAAACAAAGCAGAGATTCTAACAAACCAGGCACATTCATTCTGAAGTTTTTAATGTTTCATGGTGTCAGACTCTATGTCAGAACTCTAAGGCCATTATTTTCCTTTCTCCTTCTCTTACTATCTCACCTTAAACTACTCCTTTCACCTTGTGAGAGCTGTACTAAGAGCCAAACACTACCCACTCATGCCTCATGTCTGTTCCACTGTAAACCATATCCTAGTTCCTTTTATACTCCATTGTTATAATAAGCCACTAGTCACATAGAATTCCCTTCTATCCAAGTCTTACATTTATTTGGAAAGTCTCTTATAATCAATCACCTGTTTTAATGGTCTTCTTGCTTATTCAAGACCTCAAGGGTCAATTCAATTTAAAAATTCATCAATATAAACCGAGGTGATTTTGTCCTAATGTCTTCATAATTAATCACACTCGTGATCATTTTCAACAGGAAGAATTCAATTATGGGGACATCCTATTGCAGTGGACTGGGCAGAGCCAGAAGTAGAAGTCGATGAAGACACAATGTCTTCAGTGAAAATCTTATATGTAAGAAACCTTATGCTGTCTACCTCTGAAGAGATGATTGAGAAGGAATTCAACAATATAAAACCAGGTAGGACATATATGTAATATTACTTTGTTGAAATGCACTTTAAAAGCACTCATGCTGAGATGACTTCCCATAAATTTAAATAGCATAGGTTTTATTTAGCTCATTCTCATGATTCTATACAGACTATCCCAACTATATTCATATCTTTGGGTTAAAAACAGAGATACATAGTACTACACCATTCATCAATAATAAAATTTTGGAGAAAGGGGCACTCTTCTATGCTCTTGATGGGAGTGTAATGTAGTGCCAACATGATGGAAAACAATATTAAGGTTCCTCAAAAAAGTAAAGATAGAAATGTCATATGATCCAGCAATCCCACTACTAAGTATCTATCCAAAGGAAAGGAAGTCAGTACTAAGGTATAACCTGTCATCAGTCCCTTTAAGTTATGACTGAAACAAAACAAAGCAGAGATTCTAACAAACCAGGCACATTCATTCTGAAGTTTTTAATGTTTCATGGTGTCAGACTCTATGTCAGAACTCTAAGGCCATTATTTTCCTTTCTCCTTCTCTTACTATCTCACCTTAAACTACTCCTTTCACCTTGTGAGAGCTGTACTAAGAGCCAAACACTACCCACTCATGCCTCATGTCTGTTCCACTGTAAACCATATCCTAGTTCCTTTTATACTCCATTGTTATAATAAGCCACTAGTCACATAGAATTCCCTTCTATCCAAGTCTTACATTTATTTGGAAAGTCTCTTATAATCAATCACCTGTTTTAATGGTCTTCTTGCTTATTCAAGACCTCAAGGGTCAATTCAATTTAAAAATTCATCAATATAAACCGAGGTGATTTTGTCCTAATGTCTTCATAATTAATCACACTCGTGATCATTTTCAACAGGAAGAATTCAATTATGGGGACATCCTATTGCAGTGGACTGGGCAGAGCCAGAAGTAGAAGTCGATGAAGACACAATGTCTTCAGTGAAAATCTTATATGTAAGAAACCTTATGCTGTCTACCTCTGAAGAGATGATTGAGAAGGAATTCAACAATATAAAACCAGGTAGGACATATATGTAATATTACTTTGTTGAAATGCACTTTAAAAGTACTCATGCTGAGATGACTTCCCATAAATTTAAATAGCATAGGTTTTATTTAGCTCATTCTCATGATTCTATACAGACTATCCCAACTATATTCATATCTTTGGGTTAAAAACAGAGATACATAGTACTACACCATTCATCAATAATAAAATTTTGGAGAAAGGGGCACTCTTCTATGCTCTTGATGGGAGTGTAATGTAGTGCCAACATGATGGAAAACAATATTAAGGTTCCTCAAAAAAGTAAAGATAGAAATGTCATATGATCCAGCAATCCCACTACTAAGTATCTATCCAAAGGAAAGGAAGTCAGTATGTCATAAAGATATCTGTACCCCAATGTTTACTATAGCACTACTATAGCCAAGATTCAGGATTAACCTAAACGGCCATCAACAAATGAACTGATAAATAAAAAAATGGTAGTGCCGGGACTAGCAGATGGCCTAACAGTTACACTGCTGCACTCCCATGTAGTCGACTGCGCTTTGAGTCCTAGACCCATCAGCTTAAAACTCGCTGGGCACATGTCCACACGTGCCCAAAATCCTGAGAAGAAACTAGAGGAGAAGGGATTTCAGGATGGACATCCCTCTTGGGGGATGTTTTCTCACGTTCTGTCCCTCTGTCTCTCCAGCAAGCACACATACTCTATAGCAAAAATATCTCTCTTAAAAAAAAAAAATGGTAGGGCCAACTCTGTGACACAGCAGTGATTCCTTACTCAAGAGAGGTTGGATCCCACATGGTGACTGCAGTTAAGATCTCTGGCTTGGTTAGCCTGAAACATGCCCTCCTGCAGATGTGCAAGTGCCTGAGACTCGATGGGCTGGAGAACTGAAAGAGATTGTAGCATTACCAGACCCTGTGGGGGGTGTCTCTCTTTCTCTCTTATGCCTACCATACATTCTATCATGAATGACAGCATGTGTCATTTATCCATCACAACAGCCCTATAATATAGGTTTACTTTATTAGTTTCATTATTTACTAGATCAGAATGCCTGGATCTAGAGTAGTTAATAAGCTTGTCCAGGATCTCATAGCCAGTATGTGCAGACCTCAGATGTGAGTCCTGGTCCACCTAAAGGCATAGTTTTAACAAATCTATAGCCCCGTGGGTCATCTGTATCGGATTTACTCACTCATTCATTCCACTGTCTTTCCTTCAGTAGTTCCTATGTGCCAGGCACTATGGGAGGAGTCAGCAGGTGTGATGCGTGTGTGGGAGGAGTTTAAGGTGTTCAAGAACAACAAGGACAGCCTACTCTTGGAATGCAGGGAAGACGCATGTTTAGGAGAAGTTACATGTAAGCTGAGATCTGAAAGTTGATGCAGTTATAGGCATTGGAACTGATAGGTGTGTGTATAAATATTGCTCCACCACTTTCCTCTCATGAATGTTGGCTATCAATCTTCCCACAGTGAATAACACTTCTTTTTTAAAAAATTAATATATTTCTTCCATGAGCAAGAAAGACAGAAAGAACGGAGAGTGAGGACACCCTCAATGTGGTTTTCATACTGCAATCCACCCTCTGCATGTCTAGGGAAATCTCTGGATGCAAGCTGAGAACCTTCTCATGTGAATCAGCCTCACAGAGCATTTCATTACTGCTGTGCTACTGCCCAGTCCCTGCTTAGTTTTATCTAAAATAAACAGTCCCTTTTGTTGTTGCTTGGAGTTTCGAGATTTTTTCCATAGGATGCATGTGCTCACCTGAAAGAGACAGACATAGAAACGGAGAGGGAAAGTGAGAAATCATTTCCCCAAGGGTGCTGGCCATGCCACAATCCAGTGTGTCCAGAAATTCCAGATCACATTCTGCATCAGGTGGCACAACTTCCAGGACTCTATAATGATGTGTGACTTCTTCTCCATGGCATTCTCAAAAGAATATGAATCGTGGAGGGTGAACAACTAGTACACATTTGCTGTGTTAAGAGGAAAAGGTCGGCACTAACTAGTTTCTTTCCCAGCAGAAAGCTTTTTTTCTTTAAAAGTTTTTGCTATAGGGCATATGTGTTTACCAGAGAGTCACAGAGACAGGGAAAGTGAGATATCACCCCCTACGGGGGTTGACCATGCCACAATCCCTTCTCCTCCATTCCCCTCAGGATTTGTGACATGCACGCACATGCACACAGTGTGATTTTCAAGCCACCAAGTCCAGATCTCAAATCATGGTCAGCCAGGTGGCCACCCAGTGCCTTAACACCAGGTTAACTACTGACTCCAAACAGGATGTATTTTCTTGAGGTTATACTTAGGAAAATTTGTGGATAGAAACAAGAAAATAACTGTACAAATTCTATTTAAAGTTTGGGTCCCTGGAAGGAACCTAAACGTTCTGTGCAAATATGTGACCAGATCTCATTTGAATAATGATTGGCCTGAGAAGTATATGCCACTCAGTTGACAATCAGAACAGAAACAGGGGCCTGAAAATATATGTTCTTCAGTGCTTTCCCAGAAATCTTTTATTAAACCTAGAGATATGGCCATGCATTCATTCATACTGTGAACATTTATTCAGCATTTACTGAGCTCTGGGCCCAGAGACTGAGCACCCAGAAGACAGTAAGGGGAAAAATTACTCATGATATGTACAGTTGAGTGAAAGAAATATATATCCATTAAATAAACACACAGATAATTGTAAAACTATAATATCAACAAATGTTGTAGAACCATTTATCCTTATTTTTTTCATATGTACAGTTGAGTGAAAGAAATATATATCCATTAAATAAACACACAGATAATTGTAAAACTATAATATCGACAAATGTAGAACCATTTATCCTTATTTTTTCATCTAAATATAGGAGTATAGTTGAGTAGTCTGCATACAATTCTGAGAATGAGTTCAATAAAGCTATCCTATTTAAAGTTATGGGAACTCTTGTCAAGCATAAGTGCTTTCAAAGTACATTTTGACAATCAGAACAGAAACCCATTGTCACCTAAGGGTATCTGTGAACTTCCAGTTATAGCCATTCTACAAAATCTGATTTTCCTATGACAGTATAGCATTATCAGAATCACCTGGAGGGCTTGTTAAACCAGATTGCTTACCCCATCTACAGTGGGCCCACAGATTTGCATGTCTAACAAGTACCCAGCTGATGCTGCTGGTCAAGGGACCACACTGAGAACTATGATCCTCTGATAATTCTCCCTTTGGCACACAGGTGTGTTTCTCTTCAGGTAATTGATGTGTTCCTGACAAGTTAATAACAGACAATATTTTTTCAATGCTCCATTATAATTTCAGAGAAACTTTCTTTTTTGTTAATGAATGACTTACTAAGGTTGACCTCTGATGGCCTTACCTTCTGTCAAATGATGGGCAATCAATAAACAACTCCTGGCTTAGCCATAGTGACACAGGTGGTAGGGCACCCTTTGGGAAGTCTGGATTCGAATCTTTGGTCAACCTGAACATGTCAGATGCACTTGTGTGTACCTGTGACCCTGGCTGGCTAGGAGGGCTAGAGCGCGGCAAGATCCTGTCAAGGGTCCCTGCCTGTCTCTCTCAAAATAAATAAATAAAAGTGAACTTGAAAATGTAATTGAATTAAAAATTAATTTCCTATGCACCAAGAAAGGAAGCTATTAAAATAAGCCATGTGGTGAATACAATCATAGGGAAAACTAGCTTTTATGATATAAACTCTTACTTTCTAATTTTTTTTGTTTATGAGGCTAATTTCTCATGGATTAAGTTTTCTATAAGCAGCTATATCTGGATGTAATCATTCCAAAATGCAAAATGACTTTAAATGTCAGAAGAATTTGCAGAATTTCAGAACACCTATCTCAAATGCCACCTAACAAACATGGATGATAGAGGCTGGAGTGTGAACTGACTGATGCTATTCCATCGTTCCGTGCGTTGTGTGTGTGTGTGTGTGTGTGTGTTGAGCAGCCCTAGTCCCAGGCACTGGGCAGGAACTGGGTGAAGATGACACCAACCTGGCTCTGAAGCAGGTCCTATTCTCAGGGACTGAGACCCAGGTTGGCATTGAGGTGCCAAAGGAGCCAAAACTGGAAAGGAAGAGATCATCTGGTGCACCTCTTATTTTTTTTTATTAATATATGATCATTCTCTATGATCTCATGTGCCAGCCTTTCAAACAAAATTCTAAGACAATTTTGCTCTTCATTTAAAAGGTAATAAATATCACACTCTTATAACCTTCACCCCTTTACAAAACAAGAATATTTGCTTCAAACTACTGTCTTAGAAGTGTCATCATAAAAATTAATTAATTTAATTTAAAAAATAAGTGTTACCATAATTAGGACCAGCTCTATTAAGCTCCTCCTAAAACCAACCATCGTGTTGTGGATTGCCAACCACATCTTGATTATAACATGCAAAATGGAGTCTGCTTTGTAAATGGGTTCCTTGGCATGCAGATTTCTGCAGAGATCAATAATCTCAAAAATGAGAAGGAAAATAAACATTGTAAGGCTGACTCTGACAACATATACTAGGGGAGAGAAAAATCTTTTGCAGTAGTGGATAAGAGGAAAGAAAGAGAGTAAGAGATCCAGGCACCCAGATTCTCAGCCTTTCAGCAGCATTCATTAGTTAGTAACTTCCATGAATGACATGTTTTCAAGATGGAAGTTCCCAGAGACAGACTCAGACCATCAGTTACTACATCAGCTTCCTGCTAAAGTGTCAGTGTAATTCAATTTAATCTTCCTAAGCATTAAAAAAAAAAAAAATGAGACCACATTCTAAGGTAATAGTTCACTTCAAATCTAGCTTAATAAATTACATACATACTAATTTGTATGTATATGTACTCTGTGTGTTATTTAAAGCATCAAAACATCTTTGGAAATTAAAATAAAATAGCCATGTTGAGATAAACTTAGAAAACTGTCACTGACTTTAATATACTACTGACCAAGAAAAGGTAGCTCAAAGCTTTAAATTTGAATGAGCTTGGTAAAGACATGACAGGGCTATTTGAGAAATGTGTTTTTGTTATACTCTAAAAGTAACTAAAATATTTTACTTTATCAATATATCCTATTTTTCAGTTACCAAAACAAGCCAGGGGTTGAATCACAATAATCACCTCACCTGACACTAAAGGGAATAAAAGGCACATTAGAAGTTCAGTTAATTACATGTCTGAAGCCTCATGGTCTCTAATAACCTTTATTTATTCTCTCAGTCCAGACAAAAGGTCCAGATTTCAAACATTTCATGGAAAAGGAATTAAAGTATGTTTATTTTGTTGCAAAAATAATTTTTAAATTTATGCATTTTATTTTCATAATATGTGTTTTTCATGAACTTTTCAAAGAACCCCCTGGCACCCCCACATGTAACTATCGTCATAAGACTTCAAGGGTTGAATGCTGAGGGGAGAGAAGAATAAGTACCACAATGTTTTTAAATTATCTTACATTACAGGCCTACCATTATTCCAAAGAAAGATCATTCATAACCATTGAGCCAGGTGGTAAGTAGACTTCTAATTGTCTTTGTGACCATGAATCTAAGAGGATAAACTGAACATTGACAAAGGAAAAGAAGAGAACTATCTCCTCTTTTTATCCTCCCTAGCATAATGTCTCATCCTCTATTGTCTCTGGGAACTAAGGATAAGAGAAGAAAGTCCAACCTTTCAAGATACACCCAAGAGAGTATAAGCTAAGAAGATATTTGACAGGCTAAACTGAGAATGGTTAAACATGTTTCCATCTTACCTTCACTCTCAGCAAAAGGCCTGTTTTTTAAGTTGAGTAAATGAACAGTTCCATGGCACAGCTGTAACGTGCTACTCAAGAGAAGCTGGATTCCACATGGCAACTACAGTTTGAATCCCTGGCCCCACCCATTAGCTTGAAATGTGCACTCCAATGTTGAGGATCTGACTGGCTGGAGGATTGGAGGAAGGGGACCTTGTGGAGAGTGCCCTCTTCATGTGTGCACATGTACTTATCATAAATAAAGAAAAAATTGAGTAAGCAACGGTATTTTTTAAATAAAACATTCAACTATCTCAATACAACTTTTTCTTGTTTATTTACATGTTACCATCAACATGTATAGCACTTCCTCCACATAACATAGGCCAGGTTGGCTTATTATACAAATAATGTAAATAAATGTGGCAAAAGTATGTAAAATATCTAAGTTTATCAATTAAAACATGGAAATCTCCTTTATTTTTCTCAAGTTTTCTTTCCATTCCTGAAGTAACTCCTCAACAGTTTGGTTACTTTCCAGTTCTCTGTGCGTGTATGTATTTATCTTTATGTGTAAATATATGTGGGGTGTAATTCAAAAAACATAACTGCCATATTATATGGGGTGTCTTCAAAAAGTTCATGATAAATGCATTTTATAAAAAATTATACCTGGGTTTCAAATTATTTGAACCAAAATAAATTCATCCTTTCATTCCTTTTTCCATGAACCTTCTAAAGTCCCCTCATACTTTTTATTTTGTAACCTTTCAAAGTTAACAATAGGTCTTGAATTTTTCCATGTATGTACATACTGGTTTATTTTTTTCTCTTTAAAGATACCTTGGTGTTATTTTGTATGAATGTACCAAATTTAATCATTGCTATGAAAATTGACATTGTCTTATTTTTTGACATCTACCATGATATACTTGATACCCTTACATATGATCTTTGTACATACTGGTGAGTGTTTCTGTAAACGATACTCCTCAAAATAGAATTGGTAGATATTACATTGTTTCTAACTTTTAGATATCATTGTAGTATGTATGGTAGGGAGTTATCCTGGTTCTCAGATATTACATTAATTTTATATTTTTTTCTAAAGAGATATAAGAGATCTGGTTCTATTTCCTAGCTTTGTAGACTCATAAATCTCATAACCTTGTCAGAACTATAAGTTTCTCAATATTCAACTTAAAAATCAGTAAATTAAAATTAACTTTTTTTGAGAGATATTTTTGCTAAAGGGTGTGTGCACTCACCAAAGAGTAAAAAAGAAAGTGAGAAATCACCCTCCTCCCCCCACCCCCAGGGGATAGTAATGCCTCAATCCCTTCTGCTCCTTTCTCCTTTTGGGATCTTAGGCATGTGTGTACATGTGCCTAGCATGAGTGTCTAGCAGCCAGGTCCAGGACTCTAAACATGGTCAGTAACTGCTATGCCATCTGCTGGTCCCAAAATGAACTTAATTAAAGAAAAATTAAAATGGAGGAGAAAGGATTGCAATCTGGCCATGCCTCATTGGGAGGTATTTTCTCTCCTATTCCCTTTGGTAATTAAAAAAGAGAAAGAGAGAGAGAGATTAAACTATTGTTAAAAGTTCCTTATAACTCTAAAATTCTATTATGTATGACAAAAGAGATAAGGTATTTTTTTTTGGGGGGGGAGGGTAGAAATCAATAAAATGTAAAAAGGTAATCACCTAAATATATATTGATAAGATGACCAATAATTGAGCTCAACTCAATTCAATAAATTTTTCCATGCATAAGGTATTGTCTTTTACATTATAGAAGATGTAAAGTAATGCTATTTCTATCCTTAAAGATTATATAACCTAGAAAGTAGAAAATAAAAATCCATAGCTAGTTATAAGTTGGGATATAAGTTTTTATGTTAAAATTACAAACAAAATCTTCTATTGGAGGTATAGAATTTTAAGCTTGAGAATACACAATGTTCTTTATGAGCTCCTTAGTCTTACTCTCAGAAATCAAACGCATTGTGTCCAGTATTACTTCAAGCTTGCTAATGAGCCTATTTCCTTGCTATTTACAGGTGCCGTGGAGAGGGTGAAAAAAATCAGAGACTATGCTTTCGTGCACTTCAGTAATCGGGAAGATGCCGTTGAGGCTATGAAAGCTTTAAATGGGAAGGTAATGTTGGAGAAAGAAAAAGTATGTACAGATTTTAACCAAGTTTGGTGTGGACATTCTATTCAGAAGTGCAATCCTGCATGTATATTTCACTCCAACTTTCTCCTTGTCTAAAATGGCCTTCTTGGTCTGTCTGAGATGTATAAAAGAGAAGTGATAAAAAAATATGTTGGAGAATATAGATGTGGCTAACGTGTCCAAATCCTATTCTTTTCTGATTTGGACAAGTCACTGGCTTCAATTTCCTTAGAAAGAGAGGAAATCGAATAGATTATTTCAAGGTTTATTTTCTCCCAACTCCAATGTTCTCTTATTACTTCAGAGATGATCACTTTTTAATGCAGTGTTTTGGAGGAAGATGATCAGGAAAGATGTGAATAACCATCATTCTGCTTTCCAAGATTCAACTTCCATGTCTGGAAGACTTAGAATCTCACATCTTGCAGGCAGTAGGGTCTAGAGAATATTAACTTTTATATCCTTATTCCTGATTTGCATGTAGAAACCACTATAAGATTTACATATCAATTCAATAAATATTAGAAACCTGCAGAACATTCATGCTAATCATGTCTGGGATACAAAAAGATGCTTGTCAAAGAGCTAAAAGCCTGCAATAGGAGAAAGCACCTAGGCAAAGTAGAGTCAGGGAAGTACCATAAAAGGTAGTAAGAAAGTTCAAAGGAAGAAGTGGGTCATATGAGTGAGAAACTCTTGGATGTGAGAAGACACTATATAAGAGAAGCCATGAAAGCTGGGTATAATTTCAAAAGACAAACTACAGAAAGGATAGGCCCAGAGGCATAGAATTTGTGAAGATTAAGACAAGATTGGAGAATGGTCAAATACAGACCAGTTAATTAGAATATAATGCCCTTAGGGCTGTTTTACCCTTTGAGTCAAGCATCCACAAGGTTGCAGCAGAAAACAGCTGGCAAAAGAATTCAAATACTCATTACAAAAGTTTAAGTGGGAGTTGAAGGCAACAAAAGAGACAGTGCAGGGACTCACAGCATTTCTGGTGTCAAAGACAAAAGGGGGAACTGGAAGGTGGCATAGAGATAAAATGTGATGCTGTGCAAAGCGCACCCATGTGGGAAGGTCCTCGGTTTGCATCCTGAGGCATCCTGAGTGTGCTGGGCATGTGTGTCCATGATCTGGGGCTGGCTGAAGCTGGGAGTGAATAGTGGCATCGAGACACTCTTCGGGGTACTGTCTCTCTGCCCTTGTCACTCATGGAAGAAATAGATAAATAACTTATAGACACAAAGAGCTGAAGAATTCATGGGAATTTTGGAAGAGAAAAGAATTGTGTAGAACAAGTTTCTCTGGGAGAAGTAGTGATCTTTGGTCAAGGAACACAACCAACCCACGGCAGGGAGCTAGGAGAATAAATGTCTAAATTCACAGTTGCCTCTTTCTCCAACCTCCTGCCAGAAGTCCATATTGGCCAACCCAATTCTAATTGAGAAGGCCAGGAGCCCTGGTCAGGACCCCATATAGAGAAGCCTCCTAGAGCAGAGAAGCAGGCTGGGGGACCTGTAGGAAGCAGATTTGTAAGGTAAAGGAGCATCTCCCAGCCCATCTCCTTGAGATGCAGTGGAGGCCTAAGCAGATGACTTTCACAAGGGCTTATAAAAATGTTTGAATCCTGGAGTGGAGGTGGGGGGATGGGGAGAGAGAACAGTACTGATATAAAAATAAACTGCAAAACAAAAATTAATGTGTAAATATGTATCTATGAAATAAAACATTATTTGATCTTCACTAATTATTATATTTGTTATTACAAAAATGTTATTACTTAGAAAAAAATTGGTAAGCTAAAGGTTTTTTTTCCATTTGGAAACATTCCTCAGTATACAAAATAATTGCCTAGAAAGCACAATCACAAATTAAATGTAAAATAATCACATTGAAATAATTACAGTAGAAAAGTATATAAATTATTCCCAGTAGTTACAGCTGCTTTTATGTTGTAAATGTTTACAATATTTACATAAGTTCGTGAAATATGTATATATATATAGAGAGAGAGAGAGAATATTATGAAATATGAAGAGCCTTCAAAAAGTTTGTAGAAATTCATACTGTAAAAAATCTATACATGGATTAGCAAAATACATTAAAATTAAAATGTATCTAAATTACATTTTTCCACAAAACTTTTAAAATCTTCTTGTATATACTAAATATTATATTTAACTATAATGTGATATAGGGAAATCAAAAGTAAGTTTGCCTAAGACCTATGAAAGCTTTTGAAGATATAATTTTAATTTATATCAAAAAAAAACTCAAAGTGAGACTTTGAGGGGTTTTTTTTGTGCAGTGAAGTAACTATCACATTTACAATTTAGGAAAATTAGCTTAGTAAGAGTTGACTTTTTATAGCCTGGAGAGAGAGATGTGATGGGAGCCAGGCATAAAACTATTACAGTCACTCAATTTGGATAAAATAAAGACTGGAATTATGGAACTACAGTAGGAATGGAATGCAGGCAAAATCTCTACATAGAATGAGCTATGGAAAATAAATTCAAGGGAACTGACTAGAGACAGATGTGAGAAATAAAGGACAAATTATTGTAAATTTTTGATATGGGAGACTATTAGGGAAGTCAGGAAAGAAAGCCAACTTGGAGAGAAATGTGATGACTTGAACTTTGGACATGATTGTTGATTTAGCCTGTAAGTATTTGTAGATGTAAATATTCTATGGCATGAATGACGTTTTTCTGGGCATGTGCTATACAGATATTGTCCCAGCTCTTGAATGTCTAAACCAAATAAATACAATACTGGGTTTAAAATGACACTGCATAGAGCAGAGAAATAGAGAAAGAAATTCACTGTAATAGGAAATTTGTCTACAGTAAAGAATCTTTCATTAGAAACAATTTTTGATATGGAAGTACCTATGAGTAAAGACCTACTGGAGTCTCTCATCTTCTTCAAGACAAAGCTGAAGACATAAAGAGCCTTATATAAAAGGCCATCCCTTTCCTTCAATGTTCTAAGTCTAATTTTTCTAATTTCATCAACATCAATATAAGATTGTTCAATATCATTTAAATTCCATCTCTCAGTGTGTTTCGGCAACATATTTGACACTGGATCCTGATACTAAAAGTGAAACTAGGCAAAGATTGCCCCAGGGACTAACCAAAGCAGTCAGGATGTCCATGAAACACAGGCTTTGTCCAGCAGACATCAGTAATCCAGAATGACTTACTTGCTTATGAAATCAAAGAGTAAGAGCATGTACTCCAGTTCTTTATATACTTGACATTTTATATATTTATATTCTTTTGTAAAATAGAGAACACTTTCATTCCAAAGTAACCACAAATGCTATCCAACAACACTTTGTCCCTTTGATAAATACATCCATCTGTTGAGAGTCATCTTTGTCTCTTGTGTAGACAAGCAATATGTAGCGGTTAAATGCACATATCAATGTACACACAGCCATTATGTTCCATATGTGGAGTTGTTTGCAATCTCAAAAATGTATGTCAGAGGGCTAATCCTGTGGCACAGCTGTTGAGCACTGTGCAGAGAGAACTGGATCCCATGTGGCTAATTGAAGTTCAAGTCCTGGCCTGGTGTCTTAGAAAATATACTAGCCTTACCTGTGTGTGCTCCAAAACCTCATAGAATAGAGAAATGGAGACAAATGGATTGTAGCATAACTGTGCCCCATTGGCAGTTGCTCTCTTTCTTTCCCTCTGGTGAGTTAATATACCCTGAGAATAATTAAAAGAAAAATTAAAGTAAAAGAAAGAAAGAAGAAAAATTTGTCAGAGTAAACCTACTCCTATGGGGAACCAGCAGTTAGCGTAATGGCTATGTTGCTGGACTCCCACGTAGTCGACCGCGGTTCATGTCCTGGACCTGGTGGCTTAAAACTCACGCTGGGCGCATGTGCATGTGTGCCCAGGATCCCGAGAGGAGAATGGAGGAGAAGGGATTGCAGTGTGATCATACCCCCTGGGGGGTGATTTCTCGCTTTCTGTCTCTATGTCTCTCTCTGTCTGTCTGGCGAGCGCACGCGCCCTATAGCAAACAACAAAAACCTCTCCAAAAAAAAAAAAAAACACCCTACTCCTATCATTCTTGAGGACAAGTTTTCTGTGGCATGTAATGTGAAGAACCTCAACAGACTCCCACCTTCACCCAGTTTCCCACCATCCCTGCTTATTAGTTCTCAACTATTCAGGAGATCAAAAGGCTGTTTCTCAAGGAAGTACCTAGAGGAAACACTTCAACAGTCTCCTAGTTTCTTCTTTCTTGAATAGAGTCTAATGTAAGGCTCTCTTCTTCCCCAGTGAAAATTTACCTATTGTGTAGCTACTCTAAGGAACAAGACATTCAACTAGTTGTCAGTTAAAGGCCTGATTGGGCCACCCATGCCAAGGTGTTAATGACTGATAATATCACTTCATTAATTTCCTTCTGCTTTCATTTTACTGGGCTAGATAGTGAAGATTGTATTCCACCATAATGAAGCTAATTTTTTGGTAATTATATAAATAATTGAAACATACATATCCCATAATCAAAAATATTACATAACTTTCTCTCTCAATGACTATACTCAGATTATAAATTTATAAGCAATGGATGATGGTCAATTGTCACTGTTAAACCTTTTGGCATATTATAGAATTTACCAGAAAATTACTCAGCAAAAAATTAAACTGGTATAGGGACCAGCAGTTAGCATAATGGCTATGTCGCTGGAGTCCCACATAGTCGACCACGATTCACGTCCCGGACCTGGTGGCTTAAAACTCATGTCAGGTGCATGTGCGTGAGTGCCCAGGATCCTGAGAAGAGAATGGAGGAGAAGGAATTGTGGCATGGCCATCCCCCCTGGGGGGTGATTTCTTGCTTTCTATCTCTCTTTCTCTCTGTCTGTCTGGCGAGCGCACATGCCCTATAGCGAAAACCTCTCCAAAAAAAAAATTAAACTGGTATATAAACACAAACCTACAAAGAGACAGGATATGAAGAATGTTTACAATCAGCAAACGTATAGCAAACACTAACTTTAAGAAATAGACGTGTTATTCAGGTTTAGCCACATTTGGCTGTCTTCAAATATTCTCATGTTACTTTTTCCTTATTCTTTATAACAGATGCTGGATGGTTCCCCCATTGAAGTGACCCTTGCCAAACCAGTGGACAAGGACAGCTACGTTAGGTACACCCGCGGCACAGGTGGAAGGGGCACTGTGCTGCAAGGAGAGTATACCTACTCTTTGGGCCATGTTTATGATCCTACCACAACCTACCTTGGAGCTCCCATCTTTTATGCTCCCCAGGCCTATGCAGCGATTCCCAGTCTTCATTTCCCAGCCACCAAAGGACACCTCAGCAACAGGGCCATTCTCAGAGCCCCTTCGGTGAGAGGTAACATGCTAGTCATCTCTTGCCTTAGAGTAACCCCAAGATTTCAAATGATTTGTATTATAATAGCCTTAGACAAAATGGATGAGTCTATTGGGAGAAAGGGACTGGAAAATTATTTATTAAAAATCAGATATTATGTCATAGTTTTCCTTCCATGAAAGTCTTTTCTTATATTACAACTGGTTATTGAAAAAACTTGGTCAGAACATAGTGCAAATGAACCTAGTGCTCAAATTTTATCTTTGCCTGGGCCCATAACATTTGCACAAATGGAAACCTAGTTCCACGGCCATTAGCTTCCTATCATGAGACTACCATCTTTCAGTCAGACAATTCATTACAGACTTCCAAGAAGAGTAGAATGGTATAATGAAAACCAATGACCTCAAATAGCAAAATCATGTCAAGGTATGTGTGTATTTGGTGGTGACTCAATGGCATCATTCTATATAAATTATGAATCATCATAAATATGGTCTGATATGTGAGGTGCTCTCATATGACCTCCCCCAAGAAATATGTATCATATCTCCTAAAAAGCCAAATTATTAAGGAAAAAAAATCAGTCTGACAGCTAGACAATAAGTATTTCCTGCTTTAATTTCGTAAGAACTCCAAATGTTCAAATGGCCTTCCAAGATCAGTTAGTTCAAGAAATATAAAAGACAAGAAAAGGGTTTTTTTTTGCTTGCTTTTTTTTATTGCCAACAAACTAGTTTGTCTCTGCCTTATGGACTCCTTCAAGAGTGGTTGTTCTAGGATATAGTTAATGCCAACAGAATTCTGGTTCTATTTTCCAAATATGACACTAATCTGGGCAATTCAGTACTCAAACTGTGTATTTAAGTTATTTTGGGATTTGACTTAGAAGCAAAGAGGCACATCCAGTTTCTGTGGAAACAATTATTATACTGTGTTTCACTATTATTTAAGAGAATTGATTTGACCATCCTTTGAGATCTAGTCTTCAACAGCCTTCAGAGATTATCACAATATAATTATTTCACCCAAAACTGTAATGCAAAATGAATCATCAGGACTTTCTTCGGTTTAACATGTCCATATGTTGATAAATGAAGTCACTGAAATATTATGAATTTTTTAATCTAAAATCACTTCATTAACCTATTCATACATTAAATGTATGTTGACCAGTTGTGATATAGAAAAAGATTAACTCCATGTTTAGTGGACAAAATATCTATTTTATAACCAAAAAAAAAGGAATCAATGAATAATATTCATGGATGAAGGGTAATCAATTTAATATTTTATCTCTATGCTACCAATAGAAAATCAAAACAGCAATATGGCAAATACAAATCAAAAGGAATCTATGCATGAAACTCAATGGAAATTTAAGCCTCACATTGACAGACTATAAGGGAGAGGATGGTGAACTTTAAAACATGCTTTCTAATTATTTCACCCAAAACTGTAATGCAAAATGAATCATCAGGACTTTCTTCGGTTTAACATGTCCATATGTTGATAAATGAAGTCACTGAAATATTATGAATTTTTTAATCTAAAATCACTTCATTAACCTATTCATACATTAAATGTATGTTGACCAGTTGTGATATAGAAAAAGATTAACTCCATGTTTAGTGGACAAAATATCTATTTTATAACCAAAAAAAAAAAAAAGGAATCAATGAATAATATTCATGGATGAAGGGTAATCAATTTAATATTTTATCTCTATGCTACCAATAGAAAATCAAAACAGCAATATGGCAAATACAAATCAAAAGGAATCTATGCATGAAATTCAATGGAAATTTAAGCCTCACATTGACAGACTATAAGGGAGAGGATGGTGAACTTTAAAACATGCTTTCTACATGTACCAATTAGTCACTGGGGGTGAAATTACTGGGAAAGCTAGAATTTATTTCAGATGTGCTGATCAAGAACAATGTCTATGCGAGACTAATTTAACACATGTAGCTATGCTATGTTGGGATGTCTTAATAAACACATCCCTAACCTTTTTCAGTCTATAGAAAAATGTCAGTGAAAGGTTTACTGAAGACAGAAATTGTGAAATTTCTCTCTGTACCAAAATTTTTAAATTGCACACATACTTATGAATACTTATGATGGGATTGCTTTATTCCACAGGGCGTTTAGTAAGAGAGAGAGGGCCAGCAAGTGGCATAGTGGTTAAGATGCTGGACTCCCACATGGCTGACCACAGTTCAAGTCCCACACCCAGTTGCTTCAAACTCACGCTGGGTGCATATGTATGCAAGCCCAAAATCCCAAGAGGAGAATGGAGGAGAGGGGATTGTGGTGTAGCCACCCTCACCACACACACAAGGGAATGATTTCTCACTGTCTCTCTCTCTCTTTGTCTCTCTCTCTGTCTCCAGCAAATGCATGTACCCTATAGCAAAAATATCTCTAAATTTTGTTATAACTACAAAGGAGAGAGAGAGGCACCTATATGGTGAGTCTTGACTTATGTTGAGTTTCATTAAATGAGAATCCTAGAATTTTCTACGGATCTTCAGGGCAACCATCAATGTGACTTGGGCTAACTTTTCCATTACAGTAAGATTCAGGGTGATTTTCTGGTGGTTTGATTCAGTTTAATGCCTTCTTACATTCCTAGAAATTTACATGAATGTACCTGTAGGGGCTGCGGGAGTGAGAGGACTGGGCGGCCGTGGCTATTTGGCATACACAGGCCTGGGTCGAGGATACCAGGTCAAAGGAGACAAGAGAGAAGAAAAACTCTATGACATTTTACCTGGGATGGAGCTTACCCCAATGAATCCTGTCACGTTAAAACCCCAAGGAGTTAAACTTGCTCCCCAGGTAGGTAATATTATTCCAAAGACAGCTTCTTTAAATGGGGCCAGTGGCCATCATTCACTTTTCACCAAATGATTTGACTTGATCCCTCCTTGAGCTATTGTTTGTTGTTGTTTTGTTTAGAAAAGTCATCAATCAACATAATATATTTTGAGAAAATTCTGGGTACTGAGGGCCATTATTCTCTTTTAGGCCCTTTCATTTACCATAAAGTTTAAAACCTTAAATAATCTTCTACTGACTTGCAAAATACCTGAGAGCTATTAAGAATTATCTACCAATACCTTTTATAAAAATAAAATTAGTCAAAGTCCCCAGCTCAGAGTAAATGTCTATTGTATGTGAGCCAGGTTGGTTGGCAAATGAAGAGTATTTATGACAGTGAATAGGCCATTTAACACAAAACATCACCATAATATCTAGGTGAGTCTTCACCTCTGAGGTGCCATCTGTCATAGCAAATGAAGTCTTCTATATTTGTTATATGTAGCCATGGCATTATGGTAGCTTATTATTGCTTTCATTTAACAGTTCTAAATTTCCATGTTTCTACATGAGCCTGGGGTTTTTATTATTTGAAAATTAAGAGTTGTAAGTTGTTCCAGTATGGAAACTGAATTCAAGGATTCAAAAAAATAAAACAGGATCTATGTTAACCCGTAGACTGTTCCTTGTCAGTGGACAGCATTTGCTGATCTTTGAAATACAGTTTGTCAAAAGAAACGGAGTGATAGTTTGTGTATCTGGAAGGAAACTTCAAAGATGGAATATTCAGATTTATGGAAGTAGCCCTTATATTTGCAATCCAAAAGAAAATCTGGTTGTCTAAAATCTTTGCATGTATGGGATTAATGGCTTTCTTTTCTTTTTTTTAAATAATACAAGTTAGCTCATCTAAGGTTTCTGCTAGCCTACCCAGGCAATTAAAAAGAAATAAAAAGTACCAGTGCCAATCATTTATTTATTCAAAAAACGTTTACTGGGCTTCTCTTATACACCATATATTCCTATAGATAGTGGCAATGTAAACATGAACGTACTAGTGTTCTAGCCAAGAAAAATCATGTGGTAATGGGGGAGGGGTGTGTGAAATACTGACACATAAACAGATAAATATAAGGCAATGTGGCAAGAGAGATGGTAGTTTACTTAGAAAATACAACAGAGTCATCTAATCTCTCTTCAATTAAAACCCAAAATAAAAAAACTAAGACATAATTATAAATTCTGTATAATAGCTCTGAGAGGGGCTATAGCATGAGTAAAGATCTTTCCTTTTACATTAAAGTCAGTTAGAAACTAGTCATGCTTTCTATTAACATGTCTCCAAGTTGCTCAACTAATGAAAGTAATTAATTCGTCTTGTCTATTTCTCTAACTATGGCTTAGAAACTGAAGACCATGGCATCCCAGCCAACACAGATGGAGCCCAAACAACTCTATAGTTAAGCTAATGAACTTCCAACCAGAAAAGCAGAGGGACAAGTACTGCCCTACACAGTCAGCGGCTAATGGTGCTGCTTCTTCAGCAGGTGTTTGTTAAACTTGTTCACCTAGCCCACACAAGCAGGCAGAATACCTGCCAGCTAAAGCTCATTGATTATTGCTCAGGAACCTCACAAACGCTTTGTCAATGACAAAAGATACCACCAAGAAAAAAGCATTAAAAAGAAAACGTTAATAGAGAAATAGGAGCAATGTACAAATTAATAAACTGAAAAACTTGAGGTTATTGTAGCTAGATTAGTGTTAGAACAAATGAGCGAACGAGCTCCAGACATATATCCCGGGACATTGTTCTGTCCCATAGGGTTATGTTCTCAGACATAGTCCCTGTTTTGCACAGTATACTGGATTTGTTCTCTGGACCTCTGACCAAAAAAAATAAATAAATAAATAAAATGGCCTTGGAATTAAGAAAATATGCACCTTGAGAAAAGATTCAATTTAGAGTAATTACCAGGAAAAAAATGTACACAAGCATGCTAAAAATTAGATCGTCATAAAAATAGCCAGAAATGCCAGATAGCACTTCTACCTTGCCAAACAGATAAAAACATTGCAACTGTCAACACCCTCCTAGTCATTGTCATTAAGAAATGTTGCCATTAAACCTTTTAACTTCATTTTTATGAAAATATGAGGCTAAAACCCTATGCAAATGACATGACATAAGGATATATCCCTGGATTGTCATCTCTAAATCATTATAAATAGAGCGATTGAGGGTGTAATAAATTATTCACACACTGCTAGAGCATCCATTTAAAAAAATAGAATAAATATATCAAACAAATCACAAAACTACGTTCTCAGTAAAAAGTTACAGCTAATGGACTAAACTAAAAACGGATTCGAATAAATAGGGTGCAAATGATTTTTTTATTAAGCAATAGATATAACATTTTAAATGGAGTTCAAATTGAGTTCATCTTAAATTTTATGAGTCATTAAACCATGTGGCATTTTATAGCTTCTCATATTCATGTTTAAAACCCTGAAAACTAGAGAAATAATGCAAATGTGACATTTGAGAGGGAAACCTTTTTTTTTTTTTTTTTTTTTTATTTACTCTTGTAGATTTTAGAAGAGATTTGTCAGAAAAATAACTGGGGACAGCCAGTTTACCAGCTACATTCTGCCATTGGACAAGACCAAAGACAACTATTCTTATACAAAATAACCATCCCCGCTCTGGCCAGCCAGAACCCTGCAATGTACGTAATTTCTGAAAATCCCTTCTTATTTAGATTTTAGAGAAAGATTCACTTGTAAATTAAATATATTTGGTCACCATTTAAAAAAGATAAATACTAAAGTCTACTATTTACTGATTTAACATTAAATTTCAAACATTGAGATCCAGAGTTGGGGTATATGCCAGCTCTGAGACTGGCATCTTTTAGATTCACAAAGACAATGAAGACTAGGTAGTATAATTAAAACTGGAAAAGAGTAGGTAATGTAAAGTGTCATAGAAATTATGACAATTATAGCTCATGCTTTTTAACTTTTCTTAATTTATTTTATTTCTTCCATGAGAGAGAGAAACCACCCTCAACAAGGTCTCATGACTGTTTTTTTAGTGCATATCATCTTCTGAAACTTACCTTGAGCCTATATTTCTACGCATCTTAGGAACCGAAGTATTTCACATGTATCTTAGAAAAGCCATGTAACAAGTTACAAATGTACCCCAGGAATGTCATGAACCACCTATGTTCCAGGTCAATTTGTAAATATTTTTACATGCACATATGCTTAGAAGCCTTAATAGCAAAGAGGATAAAAAGTACACAAACTCTCGCCATTTATCCATCTTAAAAAGCTGACAGTGTGCCGTAGGTGTCACCTTGAGTCAGTAGCATAAGTTTAAAAATGTCTATCCTGTGTTTCCAGCCACGCGTTCACGCCTCCAAAGCTAAGTGCCTACGTGGATGAAGCAAAGACATATGCAGCCGAATACACCCTGCAGACCTTGGGCATCCCCACTGACGGAGGTGATGCTGGGCCTGCAGCTGCTGCAGCCGCATCTGCTACTGCCTTCCCAGGTATGTGGCGGTTGTCCCAGAAATGGCACCCTGCAGAGCTTGGGCGACACTTCTTGGGACCATGGATTTAGAGAACTGTTTGAGAATTCCTCTGTGAGAGACCTGACTTGCACAATCTGTGGCCCCCAAAAAGTTTACCAAATAAGTGAATCATTAAAGCCTGAGACAAAACTGAGCTGGATAGCAGACATGGATTCTAGTCTCAGCTCAGCTGTAAATAGCTGAGGGATCGTGAAGGAGTCATTCCCTTTCCAAGTGTGGTTTTGGTTCAAACTATTAGTAAGAGAGTTTGGAACTATTAATAGCTGGCATTTATTTGAGCTCTTACCATGTGCTAGCACTCACCTAAATGCTCAGCAAGCTTTGTATTACCTCAGTAATACATTACCAAAAGGAGTTAGGTTCAATAATAATGTTCATTATACAGACAAAAAAAAAAAAACCGTCATGAAAAGATTATGTAAGTTGGCCATCAATGAGAGTTTAAGCAATTCTTGAGCTCCCTTCCCAATTTTAATCTTCAACCTATTTTTTTTTTTTTTGAGAGAGATTTTTGCTATAGGCCACGAGTACTTGTCAGAAAGACAGAGACAGAGAGACAGAAAGTGAGAAATCCACCCCCTGGGGGATGACCACACTACAATCCCTTCTCCTCCATTCTCCTCTCAGGATCTTGAGCAGACACACATGCGCCTGGCATGCATTTAAGCCACAGGGTCCAGGAACAGCAGTTGACTACATGGGAGTCTAGCAACATAGCCATTATGCCAATTGCTGCTCCCAACCTACTTTTGTCAGTCTACTTGATTAGATGTGTAGATCACGTTTTTCTTAGATTATTTTAAGTCAAAAATTGTGTGTGTGTGTGTGTGTGTGTGTGTAAGTTATAGACAAGAGAATTGAGGGGTACTATCCTTCCAAAATGTGAATAATCAAGGCCTCAATTTCTCTGTTCTGTAATTTTGGTCAAAGACCCATACTGTTTGCTTCAAGTAAGGCCTATCGTTTGATGCGTAGGACTTCAGGGGTCACATGGAGAAGACTTCTATCTTTTTATTATATACCCACAAAAATGCTAATATTTAAAAATGAACCCTCTAGAGATTAAAGGGAACCAGGCAAGAAATGTCTTGAAATTTTTTATCCAGATTTAGTTTGAACAACCCTGTTAATTTTCAATAATTAGAAGTTTCTTTCTTTTGAAGAAATTTGTCATCCTGATTTGTCATTTTGTCAGCACACTCAACCCCCCATAAGTCCCAAATGCGACAAATCTGACTAAACCTAGAAATACGGCATGTGTATCCATGGTAGAGTCACATATTGGTCATACATAGGTGGGAGAACTTCTGCTAGGTTACCAGGAAAGTCATGATATATTTTTATATTTTTCTACACTAAAATGTATCATGACTTTCCTGACAACCCATATATCTCCCATATCCCCCCATCCCCCAGTATTCACTTCCATTCACTGTTTTCTCAAAAGTTGTAAATATGTCCTCTATTTTGACAAGTAAGGATAAAATGAATCATGCTTCACACATGAATGTGACCTCATTTTTAGCTTTGCTTTTCTATTGGAACATGGAGACTCTCTGTGGCAACCTAGGCAAGGTTACCAAGGCGACAGCTGACAGGGCAAGCCCAACAGCACTGGGTCTCAACCCCTGTGCTTGCTCTCTAACCAGGTGTTCACATGTCCATCTACTCAGGGCTCATCCAGGGATTCTGGGTTCTGGGACAAAGTCAAAGCCCTGTCTTACAGACAGGGCTGTCTGATGGAAAGCTGTACCCCAAAGACACCTAACTCGTGTACTATAAAAATGAGCCACTGTGACGAAGGTCTTAAAGTTTCCTTTTCATACTGGGAATGATTTGCTTGTACCCAAGGATGTTTTATCTTATCCTTACTTCTACTTGTTCTGATAAGAAGTTAAAAATATTTAAGGCATGAGAGTTGTCTTGGGAATGCCTGTGAATTTAAGAACCTCTCTTATAACTTTGCTGTGGGATCAGATAAAGAATAATAGTCTCCAAAGGAAAAATTGGTTTGAAGCACAAATGCCCTTCAATTAAGAAAAACCAAATTGAAAATCGCAATGTTGCTAAAGGAAAAATCTACTACACACACACTCACACATAATCACTCACGTACGTATATTTCTTATTTACTTGCTTTAGAAACACTGTGTTCAAATTCATGAAGTAATAGTAAACACATTTCTCAAATTCTTGGAAAATGCAGTAAGCATCACTAAAGCATTAGTCAGCACTACTGATCAAAATGAGCTAGCCAGGGAGTGGATTCAACTTTTTTAAAGTAGTCCAGTCAGCTTCCTGCCACTACTTACTGAGAAGTCACTAGGGAAAAAAAAAAAAATCAATGTGTCTGAAGTTGGGCAGTCTTTTATGGCACATAAACCACATAGGCAAA